GTCTCCCCCTGAGGCGGCCGCAGGAACCCGAAGTAGGGGTCCTCATAGACTGGTCCTGTGAGGAACCACAACAGGCAGGTGGAGATGGGACCGGCCCAGATCCCCAGCAGCAGCCGGAGCTGCCAGGTGCGGAAGCAGGTGGTCCTTACTCGCAAATGTTGAGGGACCTCACAGACTGGTCCTGGGAAGACCCACAAATGGCAGGTGGAGATGGGATGGCGGTCTCTCTACCGGCCCTACAGGGATGCTGGGCGGTCGGCCCAGATCTCCAGCGGCAGTATGTATCACAGGGAGCTGAAGGTGCTGTCCTTCCTCCCCAGCAGCAGTGTGAGTTCCAGGGAGCCGAAGGTGCTATCCTTCCTCCCCAGCAACAGTGTGAGTTCCAGGGAGCCAAAGGTGCTGTCCTTCCTCCCCAGCGGCAGTCTTTTTCCCAGGGAACGGAAGGTGCAGTCCTTCCTCCCCAGCGGCAGTGTGTCCTGCAGGAAGCGGAGACAGTCTGTCTTTCACCCCAGCCGCAGGACAAAATATTGAAAGGGGAGACAGTTGGTCCCCCTCTCCACCAGCAAAGAGAGTGTCAGGGAGAGGAGCAGGTTACCCCCTCTCCCCAGAGGCTGTCTACAGTCCAGAGAGAGGAGCTTGTTACACCCTCTCTCCAGCGGCAGCCTAACCCACCAAGGGGAGATGTTAAGCCCCACAACTATGCAGATGGGACCATAGTCTCTGCACTTGCAGCACCAGGGGTAGGGACGGTCGGTCCTGTCCCGCAGCCACAGAGCAGTGTATCCAGAGGGGAGACAGTCGGTCTCCCCCTCCCACAACCAGGCTCCAACCAGGCTACTTCAGTGGTAGCGCTGGCACCCGGGCAGAGTACCGCTGGTCTCTGCCCACTCAGCAACCCACCAAGGCATTCAACCAGCCCCCCGTACAGCCGTGGTGAGGCACCTGGACACGGACAACTTGCTATTTTATCCAGGTGTAGTAACCAGTTATTGTGGGTGGGCTGTATTGCTGTTTGTGCTTCATGGGTGGGTTGCTGGACTAACCAGGGCACTGACCGGCAGGAGGTCAGATACCCTGTTAGTCTGGATGGTAAAGGGAAGAATGTGGCGAAACCGGCCTCGCCACTTGTCTTTGGAGGGGGCTGCTTGCCTGCCTCTTGCCTTTGGACTATGGACCAGACTTTATGTGAATGTGTTAACCAGATAGCTATGCCATGGAGCCCATTCGTGTAGTTAAAGACTTTGGCTCCATGGCAATTGAACTGTGTGAATAGGATCTGAGCCATTCGGTAGTTTTGTGCGCTCAGATCCCAGCTATCTGGGGATATGTGAAATGTCTGTGTGTTATGTGTAAAAGGTGACTTTATGTATTTTAAAGTGTTTTGTGTCTTTTTGCAACCATGTGCTTAATGGAGTCTTGTGTCTGTCCTGGGAGATAATTGAATTACTTATCGCCAGGATAGAAGACTCTGAAACTGGTTTGGGCCAGAAAGCCATGCTTCATTTAGTCACAAAGGACTTTTTACTAACTTTTGAACCCCTGGTCTGATTCATGCCATTTTTTAATATGTTGTTCCCCTGAATGGATTGATTGTGAATATGTAATTTTATGTGAATGTGAGGTATGGTTTTAGAGTTATGAAAGTTGGGTAGAAAGTATGTTTTAACTGTATGTGTAATTGAGTTTCCTCTCAGGATAAGGGGAGGGAATATGTGGGATGTAACTGATATGTGATTGGTTGTTTTGTAACGCCCTGTGGGTTGTACTATGTTTGTGATTTGGGAATAAAAGAGACTGTATGTGACAGTACAGAGAGTTCCTGTTTTAACCCTCAAAGTGAAGTGTCGTCTCATTATTGGGGGAAGGATTTATTGTATGCTGTTCCAGTTTGACTGCTAGGAGAGTAAACCTATTCGTATGGTTCCTATTCAACTGTCTACAGCATTCATATGCTTGAGAGGATTCATATGCTTCTCCGGTTCAGTGGTTGTGGTGTCTGCTGCAGTGTTTGGAGTCCTCAGGAAGCGCTAGGAGCATCTTTTAACGGAGGTACCCAGTCGGGGTGCCAGGCGATCCGTTACAGTTGGTTACAGCTGCCCTGCCCTATAAAAAACACACACCAGTTCTGGGTTTGCTTTTCACAAGAAGCATTGCCTGATGTCAATGATGCCTCGCACAAAAGAGCTCTCAGAAGACCTACGAGTAAGAATTGTTGACTTGCATAAAGCTGGAAAGGGTTATAAAAGTATCTCCAAAAGCCTTGCTGTTCATCAGTCCACGGTAAGACAAATTGTCTATAAATGGAGAAAGTTCAGCACTGCTGCTACTCTCCCTAGGAGTGTCCGTCCTGTAAAGATGACTGCAAGAGCACAGCGCAGACTGCTCAATGAGGTGAAGAAGAATCCTATAGTGTCAGCTAAAGACTTACAAAAGTCACTGGCAAATGCTAACATCCCTGTTAGCAAATCTACAATACGTAAAATACTAAACAAGAATGGATTTCATGGGAGGATACCACAGAGGAAGCCACTGCTGTCCAAACAAAACATTGCTGCACGTTTACAGTTTGCACAAGAGCACCTGGTTGTTCCACAGCAGTACTGGCAAAATATTCTGTGGACTGATGAAACCAAAGTTGAGTTGTTTGGAAGAAACACACAACACTATGTGTGGCGAAAAAAAGGCACAGGGTGGTGGGGGCATAATGGTTTGGGGCTGCTTTGCTGCGTCAGGGCCTGGATGGATTGCTATCATCGAAGGAAAAATGAATTCCCAAGTTTATCAAGACATTTTGCAGGAGAACTTAAGGCCATCTGTCTACCAGCTGAAGCTCAACAGAAGATGGGTGTTGCAACAAGACCCAAAGCATAGAAGTAAATCAACAACAGAATGGCTTAAACAGAAGAAAATATGCCTTCTGAAGTGGCCTAGTCAGAGTCCTGACCTCAACCCGATTGAGATGCTGTGGCATGACCTCAAGAAATCGATTCACACCAGACATCCCAAGAATATTTCTAAATAGTTCTGTAAAGAGGAATGGTCAAGAATTACTCCTGACCGTTGTGCACGTCTGATCTGCAACTACAGGAAACGTTTGGTTGAAGTTATTGCTGCCAAAGGAGGTTCAACCAGTTATTAAATCCAAGGGTTCACATACTTTTTCCACCTGCACTGTGAATGTTTACATGTGTGTTCAATAAAAACATGGCAACATTTCATTCTTTGTGTGTTATTAGTTTAAGCAGACTGTGATTGTCTATTGTTGTGACTTAGATGATGATCAGATCACATTTTATGACCAATTTGTGCAGAAATCCATATCATTCCAAAGGGTTCACATACTTTTTCTTGCAACTGTATATATATATATATATATACATATATATATATATATATATATATATATATATATATATATATACATATTACTCACATTTTATGGAGCAGACTCCCCACCCTGGATTATCTGGTGAGGTCCTAACTGGAGTGGATAGACAGGATGCCAGGCAGTGTTTAAAATAAATAAAATTAATGAAGGAAATATGGCACAAATATGGTATAAAAGTAGTCAATATTCCTTTATTCTAAATAGAAATAGTACTATAACGTAATCTACAAGGTGGAAAGGAGTGCTATCACCAAGAGTGTACCTCACTCACTCAAACAAGTAACAACATAAAACCAATTAGCTAATGTCACTTAAAAAGCAACATAAGCTAAAAAAGGGGATAGCACATATAGTATAGAGGATATAAAGATACAACCTGTATAACAGGGCACAACCTCAAAAAGGTCTAGAGGATAAAAAATACATATATAGTGAAGTATGCAAAAGCAGTGAACAAAAGTCGTGGAAAACTTACACGAAGTAAAGATGATCTGCGCCTATCTCCCCTTAGGGGTATCTGAATACAGCAGCAAAATTCTTCTTATGTCTGTAAGTCTCAGAGATATGAAAAAAAAAATATATACATAGAGTAGTACTGTTAAAAATGTACAAAGGTTTATTTCACTGATTGCACTTACATTCAGGTCACAATCTGTAGGCATATGTCCACTAACAAGTGGAACACAATGGTAAATCAGTCTATGCAGAAGATGGAACAACAGCTGATTGGCAGACACTGATATATGATAGCAGTACAATCTAAAATCAAAAACACTATTAAAGAATAAAAAGTCTCTATAAAGTGCTCAAATCCAAGTCTCTATAAAGTGCTCAAATCTTCCTTTATTAATATAAAACAAATTTTAAAAAAAATTTGAATGCATTTCACCTCACAGGGCACATCATTTTTACTTGAGTAGCACTTAATTGTAATTTACTCAATCTAAGTTTTTGAAAATCTACAGATTCTCGACCATTTATTAAGCTTTTGTGCCACACTTTTATTTGCACTGCAATTATTGCATCGTCTGAATCATCCAAATAGGTTCCGCGGAGAAATGTTCAAGCTTAACGCAAAATCTAATACAGATTTATTGCTCTATTCGCTCAGTCATTTTGAATGGGATGTCCCCACAGTACACATGATCACTCGACGGCATCTAGCACCCCCACTAACCAGTACAGTGAAGTCATCATTGTTCACCCATGCACATTCCAGTCCACTCTCCTTGCCAGCAGGTTACAGCGATGTTGCGCAAACCGCTTTTGTTATATTAATAATGGCTGGACTTTACTGGATAGACCTAGTGTGTGTGTGTGGGTGTGTGTATATATATATATAGATTGCAAAGGATAGCACTCCAAGGACTTATAAAATGTAACTTTTATTTACCTTACAATTAAAATAGCCAACGTTTCAGCTTTATTCCCTCAAGCTTTCATCAAGCTAGGGGCACTATTACAATCTGTGAGATTTGAAATCTTTGTTTAGTGAATAAGCAAGTGGGCTGGATTGTGTATTTTGTATGTTGTATATATTGGCCCCAGCAGCACTCTATAATGTATGCATGTTCAGGTGAGTGCAGTCCTCTTGGTTTCATATATAATGTATGCATGTTCAGGTGAGTGCAGTCCTCTTGGTTTCATATATATATATATATATATATATATATATATATATATATATATATATATATATATATATATATATATATATATGAAACCAAGAGGACTGCACTCACCTGAACATGCATACATTATAGAGTGCTGCTGGGGCCAATATATACAACATACAATATATATATATATATATAAAATGCTAGACACTGTCCACAGCCAAAAAATTACAACTATGATGTCAGCAAAAGTGCTGTTTTTTTTTTCATTTTTCACACACAAACAGGACTTTCACTGACGATATCATTGTTATACTTTTTACTGTTTTGAAACACTAATATTTGTGTTCAGCAAAGTTTCCTGAGTATTACATTACCCCCATGCACAGGTTTTATGGTGTTTTCAAATGGTACAGGGTCAAATATAAGGCTTGTCCATTTCAGTTTTTTTCATATTTAAATTTGCCAGATTGGTTATATTGCTTTTGAGACCATATGATAGCCCAGGAATGAGAATTCCCACATCATGGCATACCATTTGCCAAATTATGTGCAGTCTTTTTTAGTAGCCCTTAGTCACAAACAGTGGCCAAAGTTAGCGTTATTAGTTTTTTTGCATTTTTCACACACAAACATTTGGATAGTGCTTGTGACCAAGTGTCTACTAAAAAAGACTGGACATACTTTTGTAATTGGTATGCCATCATAGGGGTAGTTCTAATTTCTGGGCTACCATGCACTCTCAAAGGCAACATAACCAATATGGCAAATTTTAATGTGGATAAACTGGAAAATGGAATGTGCAATAATTGACCCTGTAACTTTTCAATTCACCATAAAACCTCTTAATACAAATATGTGTATTTTATTGCAGTAAACGCTAACATTATTTAGATAGTCACATTAAAATGCCATGCAAAACTAAAAAAGAAAATCTTAATTTCTCACATTTTTTTTTGTTTTATTCATAATAAAATATGTTTCATATATGACTGTTTGATGTGAAATGAAAGCCCTGTTTTCTCCTGAACAAAATTATATATAATAAGTATGGGTGCACTAAATAGGTGAATAAAGGGTTGAACAGACATATAGTCAAATTCAAGGTTTTGTTTACATTTTGTTTTTATCAGAACGTGTACAATTACCTCGGTCTTTAAGGGGTTAATATGTTGCCGCATATAGGAGGTTGATGCTTGCAATAAGGTCAGTCTGTTATTACATTTGTGGCATCCAGTAATGTTGTAAAAGTGGGCCAGCTCAGATATCCATTGTGGATGCACTGCTTTTTCAACTATATATTAATAACAGCAGGACTGTATTATACAATGTTATTGAACGCTGATAGCAGCAGGATATACTAATATAATATAATTTTATACTAATAGCAACAGGATATTATAGTACAGTATTATTATTGTATGCCGATAGAATATTATTGTATTATTTTGTAATTTAGACTCATTTATTCATCACATTTGTTTTCCTTAATAATGTCTGCTTTAATCTTGTTCTGTGCTTCACAACTTATCTTCACAACCTCTTTTAAATGTATAAGGGACTGATACCGTTCTCCTGTCTTTTTATTGTATGATCTTTGCTAACATTCAACTTTGTCTCAATCAATAAAATTTGTTTTATGTTTCAGTTCTAGAGCAGTGTCAAAATCGTAACAATACATTCTCTTATCAGAAGCTATGTTGTAGCCACTGGGTGGCAGCAAACTGAATGATTATCGGTGCTCTTCATACTATCCCTTGTTTTGTACTTCCCAATCTTCTAACGCAGGCTTCCCCAAACTCCGGCCCTCCAGATGTTGCTGAACCACAACTCCCATGATTCTCAGCCTATCTATTTCATTCATAGAATCATGGAAGTTGTAGTTCAGCAACATCTGGAGGGCTGGAATTTGAGGAAGCTTGTTCTAACACTTTCTACTTCATCCATCTTATTATTTTTATGATC